TTGGCTAATATTAGTAATATTTTGTGAATTGACCAATTTTTGTAATAAACTACTTATAAATGGACATTGCTGGTAATTTCCCAAACCAAAATGCTCACTTTCAACAAATTTAAAGGATCAAAGTTGCTAAACAGTACTATATTTAAGGGACTAATTTAAAAACCACTTAAAATTTGTTTAGTTATCAAAACCAGATAAATTAAGGTAGCAGTTGCCGAGCTATGAACCCAACATCCTCAGCTGCTCCTAAAGCTCTGTTAGAGCTAAAAACAGCTTTATTTCATGGCTTTAAATCATTCAATCAGCTTAAACACATTCATGCACGCCTTATTCGTACAGGCTTTGAACAAAACAACTATCTCTTAAACTTACTATTAAAATACATTTTAAACAATTTCAACAACCCTAATTATGCTAAACTTGTTTTTAACCAAACTCAAGAACCCAACATTTTTTTATACAACACTATGATTCGTGGGTTGGTCTCAAATGACTGTTTTCACCAATCTGTTGAGTTTTTTAAATTAATGAGAAAAGATGGTTTTTTGCCTAATAATTTTACTTTCCCATTTTTGTTAAAGTCTTGTGCTAGGTTAGTGGATTTTGAACTTGGTGTTAAGGCTCATACACTTGTGGTTAAAGGAGGGTTTGATTGTGATGTGTTTGTGAAGACTGGTTTGGTTTGTTTTTATGCCAGGTGTGGGTTTCTTGATGATGCACACAATGTGTTTGATGATATTCCTGAGAAGAATGTTGTTTCTTGGACCGCGATAATGACGGGGTACATTGATTTTGGGAAGTTTAGGGAAGCGATTGAGTTGTTTCGGAGGTCATTGGAGATGGGTTTGAGTCCTGATAGTTTTACGCTTGTTCGCGTGCTGTCGGCCTGTAGTTGTGTAGGGGATGTTAGTTCCGGTGAGTGGATACATAGGTATGCGGCGGAGATGGGTATGGGAAGGAATGTGTTTGTTAATACTGCTTTGGTTGACATGTACGCTAAATGTGGGAACTTGGCGAGAGCTCGCGAGGTTTTTGATGAGATGGTAGAGAAGGATGTTGTTTCTTGGAGTGCTATGATTCAGGGTTACGCGGCGAACGGGCTTCCGAAAGAGGCTTTGGAGCTGTTTCACAAGATGCAGGGAGAGAACCTTAGGCCAGATTGTTATTCAATGGTTGGGGTACTTTCTGCGTCTGCAAAGTTAGGAGCGTTAGAAGTTGGCGAATCTGCCACTAGGTTGATGGAGATGGATGAGTTTTTCTCTAATGCTGTTTTAGGTACAGCACTAATTGATATGTATGCTAAATGTGGGCGAATGTTTTCAGCTTGGGAAATATTCAAGCAAGTGAAGGTGAAGGACAGAGTAATCTGGAACGCTGTTATATCGGGTCTTGCTATGCATGGTCATGTGAAATCTGCCTTTTGTTGTTTTGGTCAAGTAGAGAAACATGGTATGAAACCTGATGGAAACACATTCATGGGTCTCCTTTGTGCTTGTACTCATGCTGGCCTTGTCGACGATGGTCGGAAATATTTTCGTAGCATGACTCACTTGTACTCTTTGGAACGAAATATTGAACATTATGGTTGCATGGTTGATCTTTTAGGCCGAGCCGGTTTGCTAGATGAAGCTCATTCGTTGATAGAAAGTATGCCAATGAAGGCTAATGCCATTATTTGGGGAGCGCTATTAAGTGGTTGCCGGTTACATCGTGATACCAAGTTGGCTGAACATGTACTAAAGCAGTTGATTGAATTGGAACCATGGAACTCAGGAAACTATGTTCTTTTATCAAATATCTATGCATCTAACAATAAATGGGATGATTCGGAGAAAATCAGGTCCACTATGAATGAGAGAAGAATGCAGAAGATTCCTGCATATAGTTGGATAGAGATTGATGGAATTGTTCACGAATTTCTTGTTGGAGATACATATCATCCAATATCAGATAAGATATACGATAAACTCAGTGAACTGAGCAAGGAGTTAAGAGAGGCGGGCTATGTTCCAAAAACGGAATATGTTCTATTTGACATTGAAGAGGAGGAGAAGGAACACTTTGTTGGCTGTCACAGTGAGAAGCTTGCGCTTGCATTTGGCTTACTAAGTACTAAAGCTAGTGATGTTATCAGAATAATTAAAAATCTTCGTATCTGTGGTGATTGTCATACATTCTTCAAGCTAATCTCAAAGATAACAGAGAGAGAAATTATCTTGCGGGATAATAACCGTTTCCATTGTTTTACTAAAGGATCATGCTCATGTGGAGATTACTGGTAAGACTTCAGTTGGTAACATGATGTGCTAACTTTCTATCGAGCAAGTAATCGAGAAGAGAAAGAATATTGGAGAGGGAGGGAAAATAGAGGTCAAATACTGTCGTACTTTTATGCCGATCAGGGAAACCCATACAAAAAGCACAAGAGACAGACCTAAGATTTCTCTGTCAACAAAGAGTACAATCAACTAAATAAGAGGAGCAATGCTGTGCAGAAGCTCACTGTTCTTTGAGGCGAGGGTCTATCGGAAACAGTTTCTCTACCTTCACAAGGTAGGGGTAAGGTCTGCGTACGCATTACCCTCCTTAGACCCCACATGTGGGATTACATTGGGTTTGTTGGTATTGCTGTAATGCTGTGCAAAAGCGAAAATACTGTGATCGAACAATATATGGTGTTGATCAATTGGATTAAAATGAGTTCCACAATTTGCAGTTCCTCGTGGAGATATTGGGCTATCTCATTGGAAGCCTTTATACAAATGCCTGGGCTTGTTGCAAGCTTTAAATCAGTAGCTATATGGGATGGTGTCATAGAAAAGACGGGGAGAGCTGGCCAACTGGAAAAGACAATACTTGTATCAGTTGCAGAGAAAGAAACAACCGAATTTTTTAGAGCAAAAGGCAGTATGTAATGACCTTGAAACACAGTTGTATTTTTTGCTAATCTTTTGGGGCAACATGGCTGATGTTAATGATACAGAAAAAGAAAAGATTAGTGTAGTTAGGTAAAAAAAAAATTAAATAGGTATATATACTACATATTGAATTTTCTTAATTTACTCGAGTGTTTAATTTTTATATTTTGACATCCCTTAGTAAAAATTCTGGCTCCGCCATGGACTCTAGCCCATTGAGTGCTCTCAGTCTGTTAAACGAATGTCTGCAGCAGAAAAAGTCGTCTCTGTGCGCAGAAGTCACTGACGTGCTTAAAAGAATGTTCTTTTTATGAACCGAAAAATTCCTGAGGACCAATTGCACAAGGCTAATTATTGGACTCGTCCCTCTATTCTTTTCCCTTTTAATATCAGACTTTGTCTGCGACAGAGTTCGAACCCGTGATGTGCGCTTAACCCACACATCATAATGTTGATAATAGCATTATCTGGATTGAGTTAGGCTTAATTGTCTCCTTTAGCAACGGTTTTACTTGTATATTCATGGTTAACTTTGTTTTTCAGATCCTGGTATCTCTAGTAAATAGAAAAAAATTCCAAATATGACATCGATCAGCTAGTTGTCTATGCATTGAGAAAGCATATGTGCAAAAAATCTGTATTTGAACTAGTAAATTGATAACCGTGGCAGAACATATTTGTAATGTGCTGAGATTGAGCTATGATCTTCTTACTTAAGTACTAAAAACATTAAAGGTCGAACCATCACGTTTAAATCCTGAATTCCCACGAAAAACAAATTCAGTTCACATTTTTAAGGATGTTTAGAGTAACCAACCCCCAAGTAATAGGCCATACAACAAAATAGTAGCTAGCTGCTGTTACTCAAACTGTATGCTTTTGGTGAATGATGACGATCAAACTATTCAAACCAATTATCTTTATGATAAACTCATTACAAGAAACAAGGAATAACAAAATCCCAACAAAAAAAAATGCTACGTGATATTTTCCAATATACCTAAGTTTTGGGGGTAAAGTTACCTGATACTTGTGCGGATAGAAGGTAGCAACTACCCGATGAAACAATCTGATGTGCGCGAAATTTGGCACAAAAAAAAAA